CCTCTGCCACTCAAGCCACTGGAAACTATTATTCCAAAAGGAAGAAATTAGGGATTTTCTTTTTTTTTTTTTTTTGCTGTTTTTTGGCTGTGGCTGGGTTTGAACCTGCCACCCTCAGCATATGGGGCCGGTACCCCACTCACTCCTTGAGCCACACCAGTTCCCAGACTTGGTATCTGGGTTCCCTAACTCATTCTCTCTCCTTCGTCCTCTAGGCCATGGGTGCCTTTTTCTCAGGCATCTTTTGGGGCAGCTTTGTTGGTGGGGGTGTGCTGACACTACTGGTGGAGGTAAGCAACATCTTCCTCACCATCCGCATGATGATGAAGATCAACAACGCCCAGGATCTCCTCCTCTATTGGGTCAACAAGTATGTCAACCTGGTCATGTATTTTCTCTTCCGCCTGGCCCCTCAGGCCTACCTCACCTGGTTTTTCTTGCGTTATGTGGGCCAGGGGACCCAAGGCACCTTCCTGCTGGGTATTCTCCTCCTGTTGGACATTATGATTCTCATCTACTTTTCCCGACTCCTGCGCTCTGATTTCTGCCCTGAGCGTGTCCCCAAAGGGCAGCACAAAGACAAATTCTTGACCGAATGAATGACAAGAGACCGAGACTCAGGGCATGAACTGCAAACGTGGCCAAGAACAAAAACAGCCTCACATGTAAACTGGGACTTAGCCCCAAGTCTGGGCATCCTCTGAGCCTCTCCTCCTGAGCCTGCACTCACACTATTGAAAACACTAATGAAAGCACTCCTCTGAAGTCCTTGTCCTTTCTTGGGCAAGGGGTAAGGGAAGCAGACAGACCGGTTGGACATAAGATGGGTGTGTGAAGACAAGGTGGTAACAGAAAGCCAGCCACACTGCCCTGAAATGGATGCTAATGAACTCTCAGATGATCCTTCCTCACCAGCAGACTGTGGGCATTTGTTTCACCTACAGCCTCTTCCAGGTATAAAGGAGTTCTCGTAAAGGTGCCTGTTCTTTGACTTCTGTGCTAAGGCAAACTATAGTTTTTTTCTGAGTCACAAAGGTCTCTCCTGAGCTCCTGCCGCCAGGGGTTATAACATGTATGGTGGAGTGATAAGGTGAGTGTTACAAGAGGGTAAGTAGAATAAGTCTTGCCCAAGCCCCCTTAACAACCTCAGTATCATAGCTGGCGTTGTGGCGGGCCCCTGTAGTCCCAGCTACACGGGAGGCTGAGGCAAGAGAATCACCTAAGCCTAAGAGCTGGAGGTTGCTGTAAGCTGTGATGCCACAGCACTCTACCATGGGCAATAAAGTAAGACTCTGTCTCTTAAAAGAAAAAAAAAAAAAACCTCAGTATCTGTGTATACCACAGAATGGCCTCCCCCCAACCAGAAACTGACAGAAAGACAAAAGGCATAGATATGGTGAAAAGTTATATATTTAGAATTAGCCAGCTGGACTTGGTTTAGATGATCCCAATCTGAAAAACAAAAGGGAGCTTTGTTACTGGAGGTGAACTGAGAAACTTAAACTGGAACGTCAAGATTAAAAAAGCAAAATGAGGGAACATGAGGCTTATTAGGGATAGGGGTACAGTCAATTATGACTGACTAAACAGCAAATAGATGATGCATAATTAGCACGGGGGGGGGGAGGGGTGGATATCAAGGAGTCTGTAGGAAAGGAAGCTTACTTTGTTGGCAACATCCAAAGCATCATAATCAGGAGCCAGTCGAACATATGCCTTCTTCTCACCATCAGGCCTGGGGTGGAGAAAGAAGCCTCAGTCCCTGCTGCCCTCTTTTAAACAGTCCTTTCATTCCTTTTCAGACAATTACCTAACCCTCATTTGCCCTGAGGGGGCTAGGGAAGCTATGAAGCCACTAAGCCAATTCTCTTTTCTGTGGAACCTCACAGGACCTAGATCCTATAGGCCCAAGGGACTCTGCGCCTATAGTTCAATGGTTAGGGCACATATGTGGGGCTGACAGGTTGGAATCCAGCTGGGTCCTGCTAAATAACAACTACAAAAAAAAAAAAAAAAGAGAAATGGGCATTGTGGCTGGTGCCTGTAGTCCCAGCTATTTGGGAGGCTGAGGCAAGAGAATCACTTAAGCCCAAGAG